CAGGTTGACGGCTTTCCTTGGATATAAAGCTGGCATGACCCATATTGTCAGAGAAGTTGAAAAACCAGGGTCAAGTAAGTATTGCTTACAACTTAGAAGATTCTACTGTCAATATGCCAATGCAGTACTGGCATTAGGGTTAAGAAAATTATGTGTCATTAAAGATCTAGGTTTATACATGTTAGATGTTTCTTGACGCTACAAATCTTAAGTTATATTGTGAATGTCTTGATAAGTAACTATGCTCGTATGTTGGGCTTCTTGGAAAATGCCCATATTGAGCTTTGTTAACTGTTGGTAGAACTTTAGGCAATAACATGCATCTTTGAATATACATACATGTCTTTCCAAGTAAGCAAATACAACATATATCTGTCATTTATGAGTTGCATTTGTGCAGAGCTCCATAAGAAAGAGACTTGCGAAGCTGTTACCATAATTGAAACACCTCCAATGATTGTTGTTGGGGTTGTCGGTTATGTGAAAACACCACGTGGCCTTCGCTGCCTGAGCACTGTCTGGGCTCAGCATCTTAGTGAAGAAATTAAAAGGAGGTTCTACAAGAACTGGTGCATGTCCAAAAAGAAGGCCTTTGCCAAGTACTCAAAGAAGTATGAAACTGATGAAGGCAAGAAAGATATTAATGCACAGTTGGAGAAGATGAAGAAGTATTGTTCTGTGATCCGCGTTCTTGCCCATACTCAGGTATTTGCTTTTTTTTTGTGTCATTATGTTTACCTTATTATTCTCTTTTGAGACACTAAGGATCCCCTATAATTTTTTCTTTGCAGATTAGGAAAATGAAAGGTCTCAAGCAAAAGAAGGCACATCTGATGGAGATTCAGGTTAATGGTGGGGATGTTGCCCAGAAGGTTGATTATGCCTATGGCTTTTTTGAGAAACAGATTCCCATTGATGCAATTTTCCAGAAGGATGAGATGATTGATATCATTGGTGTGACTAAAGGTAAGGGGTATGAGGGTGTGGTTACTCGTTGGGGCGTGACCCGGCTCCCACGTAAGACTCATCGTGGTCTTAGAAAGGTGGCTTGTATTGGTGCTTGGCATCCAGCTAGGGTGTCATTTACTGTTGCTAGGGCTGGGCAGAATGGTTATCACCATCGTACTGAGATGAACAAGAAAGTCTACAGGCTGGGCAAGGCTGGACAGGAGTCTCATTCTGCCATAACTGAGTTTGACAGGACTGAGAAGGAAATCACTCCAATCGGTGGATTCCCTCACTATGGTGTTGTGAAAGAGGACTTTCTGTTGATTAAGGGCTGCTGTGTTGGACCAAAGAAGCGTGTTGTGACTTTGAGGCAGTCGTTGTTGAACCAGACATCTAGGGTTGCATTGGAGGAGATCAAGCTCAAGTTCATTGACACATCATCCAAGTTTGGCCATGGACGCTTCCAGACTACACAGGAGAAGGCAAAATTCTATGGACGCCTTAAAGCTTGAGAATTTGTCAAGACCATATAGGCACTTCTTTTTTGTCAGAGATGAACTTCATTTATAAGTTGCTATGTCGTTTTTTATTTATTCTGAATACTGTGACAATTTTGTGAGATTAAAGTTAATGCTTGTTATTTCAGTAAGCATTTTTTGGACATGTATCTTTTTTGTGTTCCATATCTCGCTAGCCTGCTGCCCAATATTCACTGGGTTGCTTCCTCCTTTCTCTATGATCCTTCCCTTTTCATACTTGACATATGCTTTACTTGAGCCGAGTTTCTATCTTTATCTTCACAAGGTAATGGTAAGCATTTCCCATGGGGCATGAGTGAAATTTATTTCCTTGAGCTCTCATTATAAGAAGGATTTCCACGTTAACCCGTTTGGCTCCTCTCACTCTTGAGGCATGTAATGGTCTTGGTGACTCTTCTTCTGTACTGAATTGGTGTTGGTAAGCAATTACACAATTCTCTTTTGTTGCTTCTAAGCTATTCTTGACATATTATGAACGATTTATAATCAGTCTGGAGACCAGCATGTTTAATGATTTTCATATTTAAAGGTACATGTACTCATATACCATTAAATTTATTGATGTGTTGATGCTTAGTTTTTGTTCATAGAAAAATGGGATCACACGTTAAAGCTCAAGATAATAAAGGTATCATTTCACATGGGAAGCAAGAACGTCAACATAAATATAATTAGAAAAGAGAAAAATGGAAGGAGAGTGGGATTTTATGCCCCCTATAAAGCTAATAAAGGAAACCTACGATGTGGAAAAGAAGCAATTGATATGAATCTCTCTTCTATGAATAATAACATCAATAACTTCCTCTTGGTTTACTAAGATGGTTTGGAGTCACTTTTTGTACACCTCAACTATTACATCAACTACTATATCTCGCTAATAATACGCTGAATATCTCAATCCATCAAGACTCGAGCAAAGCTTTTGTACACCTCAACTAATACCTGCTACATATTATCCTCCTACCTTCTTTGACACTTCAAGGTAAATTGTACTACTTTGTAAGTGACAAGTTTGTTTTATTGGAAGACTTGAGATGAAAAATTAGAGTGGGGGGTGGGGGGCACAAAGGAGAAAAACTGAGAAAGAAAACATTGCTTTGTTCTTCTAGACATGGGCCAACTGGCCCCCCCCCCC